ATGTCACCTCACGTGTTTGTTCAGCGGCTGCATGGCTGGGTAGGTGGATGGGAAATGAACCTGTGGCTTTTGAAGTCTATTTGGATGTTTGAGAGGCTAGAACACCTCAATGCCCAGGCAGAGTAAACAGGCAGCAAGTAAATAATGGCATTGAGACCTTCCTTCAGCCCCTGGCTCGCCCCTGGGATTGAAGAGACTCAGCGGCCAGGAAACTGGCTTTTCCCTGGAGGGACTCACAAGGAAACACTTGCAGATTTTTTTTATTAATATGTTTTTCATTGATGTCAGGGAGGAGGGAGAGGGAGAGAGAGATAGGAACATCCATGATGAGAGAGAATCACGGATCGGCTGCCTCCTGCACGCCCCCTCCTGGGGATGGAGCCCACAACCCCGGCATGTGCCCTTGGCCAGGAATCGAACCGTGACCTCCTGGCTCACAGGCTGACGCTCAACCACTGAGCCACGCCGGCCGGGCCACTTGCAGATTTCAAGTTGCAATACGTACCTTGCGCAGTGGGACCGATGGTCATGGGGGGGTGGGGGGCAGTGAATCTAAAAGGGCCCAGGAAACCCAAATACGTCGCTCAGCGACGCCGTGTTGTTGTGCGTCTCACGGGGTTGGTTTCCTTCTCTCCGACGCAGCGGCCGCTTCTCTCTCGCCGTCGTCGGGCTGGACATCACGTCCCTGGGGCTGCGCTCCCTCAAGGAGATCAGTGACGGAGACGTGATCATCTCGGCGAACCGCAACCTGTGCTACGCAGACACCATCAACTGGAGAAAGCTCTTCGGGACCACGAGTCAGAAAGCCAAGATCCAAGGCAACAAGGACGGCAGAGACTGCAGTGAGTGGCGCGCGGCCGGAGGGCGGGCCCGCTGCTCCGTGCCTGTTCACGTAGAACGCCCCCAGGGCCACCCCCGAGCACGCGAAGGCCTCTCCTCCCCCTGACGCAGCCAGAGAGGGGCTCCGTGTGCTCCCGATGGCGGCGCTGCCACCTGGCGCCCGGCAGGATCGCTCTGGCGCATCCCCCTTTCGCAGGAGACGTTGGCCTTGAGATTCGGGCTGTCCGTTGTTCGCAGTGCACAGGAGTGAGCTTGGTGTCGATTAGATGACATTTTAGCTATCGGTCCCCCTGCTCATTTCAGTCTCCGATGGCTCTAGCTCACACACACACACGCACACACATGCACACAAACGCGTGCGCCCGTGTGCACGCCGTGGAAGGAACCTTTCACCGTGGCGTCTCCTACCTGCGTCAGAGCCATCGCCAGCCTGTGAAGCCGGGCAGGTGGCGGCCCCTGTGCCGAGAGCCGGCCCCTGGAAGCAGACCTGCCTCCACATCCTGGCCCCGGTCCTTCCAGGCACCGAGGCCTTCGTCCACTTCCTCCCCATCTCTGGGCTCTGGCGTCCTCATCCACGCCATGGGGACAGTAACGATTCCCACAGCGTCCCGCTCTGGAGAGAATGAAGTGCAATCCCGAGTGTAGACCCTGGGCGCGGTGCCTCCCTAGCCCAAGGAAGCGAGCACAGCACACCTTCCCGCCGTCACCCTCGCTGTGACGTTAACCCACAAACCCCACCAGGCCCAGTGTGGCGCCCTGGGCACCCCGAAGGGAAAAGGCACCTCGCAGTCGGCCTGGGGGGCTGTTCTGGGTCCTGGCTTCTTTCAGGGCCCCGGCGTGTGCGTCAGCGGAAGACCCCGGCACCTCACTGGGGGGGGTTGTCCCAGTCATCCCTCGATCACTCTTCCCCTGACTGCGGTGCCCACTGTCTCCCCAGAGGCCCAAGGCCAAGTCTGCAACCGGCTGTGCTCGCCGTCGGAGGGCTGCTGGGGCCCCGCGCCCGGGGACTGCGTGGCCTGCCAGAACGTCAGCCGAGAGCAGGAGTGCATGGAGCGGTGCAACCTGCTGGAGGGGTGAGCGCTGCGACCGCGGGAGGGCGGCTGGACGGGGCCAACGCCGTTCCCCGTGCACCTGTCTCTCTGTTGTTTCTTTTCCTTTGTTTTGTTGGTTGTTTGTTTGTTTGTTAGCAACTGTTCATCACACATGGAAATGGACAAACTATTTTCCTGGCTTAATCCAACCTAATAATTTATCGAGTCTCTTTTTCTGGACATACCTTCTATTTTTCTAAGCTGCACAATTCCCAAGAT